CTCCACTTACGGGCAGCTTTTCTCGGGTCTGTTGGTCGATCTACGGGCCAAGTCTTTCTTGGCTCTATTGCTCACTCACTCCAGCCTTGAGTACTGGTGGGCTTACCCTAGCATGGGCAAATCCATAGGCGGACAGCTCCTCAGCTCTCCTGGCAGGGGCGAGGATCAGATGCGCGTTGTAGTCTCTGGCCTCGCCCTCAGCTGTGGAGAATTCTACTATGTCTATAAGTTTGATGTCACTACCATTTCTATCTGTGCTGTAAAGGACGGGGCAAAGAAGTACAAATGATCATTTATCTACTCATTTATTCTGTAATGATTGGAACTTTTACAACTACGCCTCTTAATGACAAGATGAAAAATAACCTAAGTAATGTATTTAAACAGACACAAAAGATTCACACAAAACTTTTATGGCATGGCAAGTTTATTTGTATAGCACAATTCATCCATCCATTTTCTACCCTTTAATCCATTTCTGGGTCAGGGGGGTGGCAGTCAGAGATGCCACCCAAGTCTCATAGCACCAGCCCCTCACTGACCCTCTGCAGGTGGTGAGTCCACAGGAGGCTGCTCTCTGAGTGTGAGCATAGCCTTGATCTTTCAGTGGGGGCTTTGGGCAAAGTGGGGTTAAGTCCAACACAACGACAGCAGTCATCAGTGGGAGTCGGTGGAGAAGGTGCAGAGGTGGGACCTCTGCACATTCTCATACACAATTCATACACAAGGCAATTCAAAGTGCTGAACAAAACAAGAAAGCATTAAAATCATAAATAATCACAGAAAATTAAAAAGAAAGATAAAAATATAAAATCCCTCAGTTGTATGCACAGCTAAACAGAACCGTTTTTAACCTGGTTTTAAACATTGTCAGAGAGGAGGCCTGTCTCACATCTTCAGGAAGATTGTTCCAGATTTAAGCAGCATGAATCTGAAAAGCAGCCTCCCCATGTTTAGTTCTGACTCTGGGCACTAACAGGAGTCCAGTCCCTGTGCTCCTCAGAGTCCGGGCTGATTCATATGGTACTAACATGTCACTAATATATTTTGGTGCGAGGCCATGGAGAGACTTGTACACAAGCAAAGCTGTTTTAAAGTCTATTCTCTGAGCCACAGGAAGCCAGTGCAGAGACCTGAGAACTGGACTAATATGGTCGTACTTCCTGGTTCTAGTCAGGACTCGAGCTGCTGCATTTTGAATGTACTGCAGCTGTTTTACAGCCTGTTTGGACAGACCTGTGAGCAAATATAAAATCTAGAGCACACACTCCATAAAGTTTGGTCAAATGGCTATCCCTGGTCATACGATGGTTCCAAATTCTTTGTTTTCCAAGGACTCAAAGAATGTGTTGTACATTTTATGTTTGGCTCTGTCTTTTTCATGGGGCTTCAATTTCTTCAAGAGAGGGACCACACTAGCCGCAAAGAGTTCCTCCTCCAACATCCTCTGAGATGAGGACAGACAGTTCTGCTGGAGAGCGGAGAGCAGATCTCGCTCATAATCGGAGACCGGAGGATCGGCCTTCCTGGTCCTCTTCCGTTGTGGGCCTGTTGAACAGGAGAATATACATGTTTCGAAATTACATACTACGGACAAGAGCTATAACTAGTCGCAGACATGAAGTAGGTAACCAAGTAAATGATTTGTGATGCTCACCTGGAGGTGTTTCCGGAGGGCTAGCCTTGAGTGGCAGGCAGAGGCAGCAACAGGACTCTGCAGGCTACTTGCGAATGACGTCCCCGGCTCGGGAGATGTCACCCTCATGTCTTCTGTAAATGCATAGTCATTGTAGTAAACATTGCAGATATGGCCATTGCATAGCATGACGTCATATAGTTTCATATAGTCAGATGCCCCCATTTCAACCCAGTACAAACCTTTAAGCCGTGCAGAAGCCTCCTCTCAAACAAGAGCCGGCCCTTCCTCCTCCCTACTTGCCATGTTGCTGGTTGTGGGGCCCGGGGTTATGGTCGGGTCATGGAAGGCCAGGGCACTGCTGTACCTCCATTTTGTCCCCTTCCCTGCAGCAGAGCCACTCCTCTGCACCTCTTTCCTTCTCTTCATGTAAGTATCTCGCAGTGACCTCCACCTCTTCTTGCAAAATTCGACTGCAACAAATCAGATACTAGTCAGAAAACGCGCTGAAATCCCCCTTGTATAACTAGCATAAACAAGAACCAATTTCTGAATAAATGCTACTTACCAGGGAGGTTGAGCAATGGACTTCCATGCAAGCTCCTTTTTCAGCCTGTCGCTGTATTCCGAAATGCTAACTTTCCACAGCTTTGGAAAGTTAGTTACGGCCACGATCAGATTGTCTATTACGTTATCTTCCATTTCGAAAAAGGCCAGTTCCGGGTCCTTCCCGGGGTATATATGGTGTGTGCATGGTGTGATCACGTCAGCGGTGTGCGTGCTCTGTGATTGGTTGCTGCACCACCGTCCGGCGGAAGAGGTTCAGGGAAATTCATCTCCTACGTGCATCGATTTTCCGCTCCTGCGCCTCTGCCGCGCCTTTGCCGCGCAGTTTGTGCGTGCATTCCGAGACGCATATGCATTTCAACACATGATCCGGTGTGAAAGCAGCATAAGTCAGTGCTGGAGCGTGCTGGACAGCATTTGGGGATGGTGGAAAACATGTAATATTGTTGTTATCAAAGCCTTTCGGCCTGCTTTGCAATTATAATGGTGTTAGGATGTTGCTGTATACCTTTGTATACGTCTCTTTGTGTTTTAAAGCAATGACACTGCTGTTTAACCTGGACTGAGAGGTCAAATGCTTGCATTGGTTAGAGGATTCCCATCCCGGCCACCAAGGAAGGTTAATGAAAGGTTATGTTCTGTGGCCTTGTTTAAAAGCGGCCAGAGAGGGATATGTTGTATTAAATATAAGACTAAGCAGATATGACAATGACTGACCCTGATATGACCTTCTGTCTCTTTCCTAGCAAAAAGACCTGGTCTCCCCTTCTTCATTTTAGTCCAAAGGGCAGGATGAGTTAATGGATATTCTAATCTGGAAGGCCAAGGGGATCTGCATCCTCGATTCTGTTAAGCCTTTCCGTTGTACTGGAGAAGGAGATGGACCCAGATTGTGAGGGTAATGTATTAAAAAATGACGTGTTCAAAATCCCTTATAAAAGATGGACCAAGATACAGAAGTTAATACAAAAAGGTTTATTATTCCTTAATACAAAAGAATCTTATACAGCTGTCCGGGACAAAAGTAACTAATCCTTCTTCTCTAAATAAAGTATAAAAGTATAACTTTGGGTGGGCGCTCCACGCCAAGTCACACTACTGTACTTGTTCGGTAACAAACTCTAACTTAACACATTCAAACTATTCACTATAAGTAAATGTGCAAGAAGGAGAGGGGCGTGGTATCAGGCAGCTTCGGTTCCGTGATCCGCTTCCACCATATGGTCCTCCCTCCGTCTCGCCACGCCTAAAAAGCTATAGCAAGGAGCAACTGGAGTTGGGCTGCCAAAGAGATGACGACACACAAAGAATTGATTGGGTCGATCAGTGAAAAAATCATGGGCATTGTAGAAGACGAGTGCAAGAAGCTATGCAATCCCTTCACTGATTTCATTCTCTCAAAAACATCACCTGAGGAGTTGAAGGCATTTTCCTTTGAAAAACTACAAGCTGATCTACAGCGTGTGTCGCCGTTTTTATTTTCTATCTTTTTGTGCATCACTAAAAACTCCACTAACATTGCTTGTGCTGCAGCAGCTATAGCTTTGAGAGGTGTTGTATTAAATATAGGCTAAAAGGCGATGTGAATTAGATTGACCTGAAATTGAACTCTGTCTGTCTCCAAGCAAAAAGAAAGACCTTGTATTGCCCTACTCCCCTTGTCCCATTTTGTCCAAAGTGCATGGGTGAGTTAATGATAGTTAATCTGGGGGGATTCTGCTAATCCTTTCAAGTTGTGAAAGAAGGAGATGGAGTCCAGAATCTGGAGGAGAAGCCTTGAGATCCCTCTGCCTTATCTCAAAGGAACTAATAAATCTATAGAATTAGGGAGGGGTAGTGCGTGAATGATTTCTGTTTAGGTCTGGCGAGACGGAGAAGACCTGATGGAGGCCGGACCCTGGACCAAGAGCTGACTGATACGACACGCCCCTTCTTCCCCTTGCACATTTACTTAATGAATAGCTTGAATGTGTGTGTTAGTTTTTTCAGTCCGGATCAGGGTTTAGCTGTGTGACTTGGTGGAGCGCCCAACCAATGTTACACCTTATATAGAGGATAGGGATTAGATACTTTTTGGTCCGGACAGCTGTTTTAGATTCTTTTTGTATTAGGGAAATAAACCTTTTTGAATTTAACTTTCTGAATCATGGTCATCTTTATAAGGGATTTTGAACACGTCATTTTTTAATATAATAGAGGCAGGCAGCCCCGTTTGTCTGCCTTTGCATACTACGTGAATAGTGTCCTGCAGTATGCTGGTGTGAAGAAGGCATCTTTCAAAAGGCTTTGTAAACTAGGAATTACTACCACTTACATAAATGCTCTCAAACAACAACAAAAAATGGCAAATACATGCGGAGAGGAATTTCTATTACTGAAAGTAGCAAATGAAATATTCCTCAGGGAACATGAGGACAGAAGCACAGCCAATTGTGTATCCGTCACGTCAAGCACTGAGGTTGTGAGGGACCTGGATGGAGCAATGCATGCCACGAAGCAGTCTTCCTTGTCAGGTAAGAAAGACCTGATATTCACATTGTCAATTTTATTTAATCCATTCAGCTGTTTGACACTACTAATATAATCTTGTAAGTAATAAGTTTTCAAACTATGAAAGTTCACAGCGACTTTTGAAGCTCCCAAGGTCGTTTACAATTTGTGCTTTGTACAATTGCGCCCTTTTTGCCAAAACCCCTTATTTGTTTGTTTGTGTCTTGCAGATAACTTGACACAAAGCACTCTGAGGTCTGACAATGTTGCTGCTTTGTTAGCCTTCAGTACAGTGACAGACGCTGAAATGGGGAATCTGGGTGTAACAACATTGCCTGCAGAAGCAACATCAGTGCCAACTCCACCAAAAACCTATTCCATCATATTTGACAACTTGGACTTCTTCTGCCGCACACACCATCAGTCGATCAGCCAAAAGAACCAATCAACACACTGGATCCACCACATGCGCCGTGACTATGTTGTTCTGGGAAGCAGAATCATTACCAAGTACATGGATGCCTTCAAGCCATTGTCGTCAACCGTGGTTCATAACATCCCTCACCAGTATTCTGCAGAAATGTCAGAGCCTTCAACCCACGTAAGTATTAATTAACTACACTTTATTCTGAGTTTTGGGAAATTGTAAACTTTGACTTGTGTAGGTATCAAAAGCGGTTGTTCAGTTGATTTATGCTATCACTCCATACGTTTGTGCAATTCTAATACATGTGTTTCTTCTTCATAGTACCCCCTTGGACTTCTCTTCAAAGATGAGAACCAATCTACAGATTTAGCTGATGTTCTACAGCATTTTCAGAATGAGTAAGAAGGCTGGGGTGGGAAAAAATGTCATATGTTCTGCTTTGTATGTGTTGTTGTAAAATTTTGCATCTAATTGATGTGTCATGTAGGTATGTTCCAAAGGGCCCAGAAGGACCACAAAGCATTTTAGTCGGTGGTGACAGACTGACAGAGGGCTGACAGAGATAGCCGTAACATACAGTGGGCCTTTGCTGAAGGTGAAAATGCGGTCCACAGGCTGGAAGGCCTTGTCTTGAAATTTGAGGATTGGCATGCAATAAGAAACCTCTGAGGTGAGTGACATCATCAAGATAGGAGTTTAAATACTTAAAGGACACCTGCATTGTAACATAACATTTGGCACATATCCTCAGCACCCTCCCCTATGTGTCATCACAGTTTTATTGTTTCAATTGTGGCACAGTTTTGACTATTCTCTCACCCCACATACCCATGTTGACATTGGTTTTGGGACAAGCAAAAATAAATAGTGCCTACTTTAGAGTGCTGCAGTGTGATTTCAGGACAGTCACATGATAAGATTTTAATATTCACGGACTTAATTACATGAAAAAATTTTGCAGTCATACTTATGTGAGCTACATGTACTCATGCAGTACTTAGTAATTAAATGTGATCTGTTTTTGTTCTTGCCCACCAAATGACTGTTTTGACTTTGTATTATATAATAAATTTCATTTCAGATGTATCACCAGATTTTTTTTAAAGAAGGTTCGGCAAAGGATCATGGCACACTCCTTGCCAATATGAATCTGTTGAGGTATGCATGTGTGACTTTATGCATTGTCTTTGGTATTCTTTGTTGTTGTATTTTTAATATGTACATGTTTGTTTTAATGTTTGCATTCTGATTTAACCTGTGTGTTCACTGTTTACAGGTTTTTTTCTTTCCCATTGAACCCCAGCCACCATGAATTAAGGCTCGGAACTTCATCACAACTTATCTGCTCTGTCCTATGATGGTCCAGCCACCATGAATTACGGCTTTTTTCCAGTTCTGTAATTCTGTCTCTCTTTCAAAGTGTGTGTGTGTCTGTGTGGTGGTTGGTCAATTTAGGACCAACCATCTCGAATTAGAGTTGGGCACTTCTACATCATGAGTCCATTACAAACCATCACCAATAACAAGATATGTTCTTATGCAGCAATGCAAAACAAGGTCCGCATGCTGCATTCAATGCATATAAGGAGTTTGTGCAGAAGGACACTGCAGCTCTCTTCCTGGCAGCGGCAATGGAGCACTTTGGGCTACAGAATGTGTCAGATACAATCTTTGAATTAAAGCTCAAGACTCTCATTGAAACAAATGTCTAGACCCTGTTAAATGTCTTTATACTAACAAACCGTCACTGAACTCTAACCATTCTGTGTAAGTCCAGTAGTATTCACTACGAATGGGCAACATAATGCAAGATAAATATGGCCCTCTGAATCATTCATATTAACCCTATATGCACATGTTTTACAAATGATCAATTTCCTCTGTGAAGTACGTATTCAGGGCTTTTCGAAACTAGTTTTGATTTGTCTGTGCGATGCACGGAGGATAAACTACGTTTGTCTGAAAGTCCGTGTCCAAAGCGTGACCCGTGAGGTACAAACAGCTGTGAGATACAAACACACAGGGACTGCCAAAGATCGTCAGAGAGTGAGATGTCTCACTCCTCTGCGTTTACTTGTTCTCCCACAGTTGAAACTACAGCTGCGATTGCAATAACCGGCTGAAGAGTGCTCATTATTGATAAAGACGATAATAAATACAGTAAAATGACATTATGTGTATATGATGTATATAAATATATGTATTATATAAATAATTGATGTTTTTTTTGTTTTGGCTCAGTTTCTTATGTTTTACGTTTTTTCTGTACTACAGAAGCAACCCCAGCATTATAGACAAACTGCTTCAGGAAGGGCATCAGGAGTACAGAGTTTTTTGCTTTTATAGTGGAAGTATAATAGTTAGAGATTCAATTTTTTTCCCCATTATCCCCAAGACCATAAATAACATTTCTATGCAGTGTAAAAAGTTGTTTATAGCATTTCATTGTGTTTTTTCAATACATTTTTGTTAAATTGATTTTCCGTTTGATTTTTTTCTTTGTCTTCATGATTCCATAATTTTTATATAATTCATATGACAGCTTTACAATATGAATATTCTAAAACCCCAGGTTGTACTGAAAAAAACAAAGTATACTGCTTGACTCTGCATCAAAATATGACTGTTTTATGAACAATTATACACAAAGAAAACCAGGCGAGGAAAGTTCCCCAAAATGACCCACGTGCATAGAGGGTTAATACTCCCTGCCCCCATCCTATCCCTTTAGCTGAGTCCAAAGCATGGAGGCACTGGGTACCATTCCTGAAATAGCCATATCTTATGGCAGACATTATAAACAAGGCCAATGAGCTGGTGAAAACATGCAGATGAAAGGAATTTTTTTCTTGTAAAACGTATACATGTTTTTAATTTGAAAACTGATATTTCTTCCTTGTGTTGTGCAGTTTTTGAAATAAATAACATCACAGCTTACCCTACCAAACATGCATCTCACATTATTTATGTGATGTGTCTACAGATGTCCCAGAAGGCTTCATCCCTGACCACATCTTAACAGGTTCGCAGGAAGAGAAAAGGAACTGGCTACATGATGTAGTGTCTGGGGTGGTTGACAAACTTGTCATATTTAAGGACATTTCAGACATTGTAAGTGGTGTCAACGACACAGCCAGTGACCTACCACAAAAGGGAGAGAAGCTTCATTGCCGTGCCCCAGGATGCATAAGAGTTGAAGTACAAAAAGGCCATGGAAAACCATGAGAGAAAAGAACATGGTTTGACAGCATACGGAGGCAAGGCTGGGTTTTGGATTTTTCTTGGCAGACCTGCAGGATGCAGTTAAGGAAGGAGACGGAGAGAGGCTGTTGCGGCTATATACTGTAGCGCTGATGTTCTACAAGGCCGATGGGCATACCCAGTATGCCTACAGTACACTCCTCCTTACCTTGCAGGTGAATTTTACACTTTCCCCTCGCCTAGCACACAGCTTGACCTGGAATAGGTTTTGGAATGGGAAGGGAGGAAAGGGAAAGAACATTTCCTTAGATCTGCATCTGGAGCATCTAAACAACTTTCTAAAGTCCTTTTTGCGACGCAGTGGTCCAAACCTTTCTGAACAGAACGCAGGCAGGGTCAGCAAGTCCATTGGGGTCCTTAAAAGCTTGATGGAGACCACAGACAGAGAACTGCAGGTGTCAAGCTCCACAGCCGTGCACCATGCTCCTCGTCAGACGGAGGATATTCTAGTTTTGGTGAAAGTTTTAAGAGACGCTGAGCTTTTCAAGGACCACCCAGGCAGAGAGTTCTCAGAATTTCCCGAAATTTAACAGATCTTCTGAAAAAACTGAAATGTACTAACCTGAGGGGATGGTTGAAATCTAAATTGAAGGAGTGGCAAGATCACCCTATTTGAAATGGGTCAATAATGACCCCGTTGTAAATAACATTGGGCCTCATTCACGAATAACTTCGTGAGAAACTACTCAACTTTCTTCTCAAGTTGTCCTTAAGTAGATTTCTAAGAAGTCCCCACGTGGGATTCATCAACGCACTCGTAAGGCGCTGAATTGTTCGCAGCTGTTCTCTCAGATTGATGAATCCCATTTCCTCGTAAGTACAGCGCGCGTGCCAGGTGCTTCATTAGCATAGGTACTTAGCATAAGTAACCGCCCACTAATGCCCATATAAGGGACTGCAGAGCCGTGTGCAGACGGCAGAGGAAACAGCAACAGGCCTAAAGCAACAGGCCACGGAGCAAAAGAGTCACCCTTTATTCTTCTTTTACCAGACTGAGAATAAAGTTATAAAATGTTGACTTAAAAGTCGAAATATTATGATAATAAAGTCGAACTAGCAAAATTATGAGATTAATCTAAGAATATGATGAGATTAATATCAAAATGTTATGAGCTTAATTTAAAAATATATTATGTATTATTTTAAAGATGAATCTCAAAATGTTTTGAGATTAATCTCAAAATATTTTGGACCCTGGGAGGAGATCCAGCACGGACCAGCGCTGAGACCAATGCAGACCCGAGGAGAGACTGGAGTGACCAGCACACAGAAACCAGCGCGGACCTATAGGAGAGACCGCATAGACTGTAGTGACCTGACTGGAGAGACCGGTGCGCAGAGACCAGCGCGGACCGAAGATAGACCGCATAGACCAGACTTGAGAGACCAGCGCGGACCCGTATGGATCCAGGAGCGTGCAGCATGGACCCGTATGGAGAGAGACCAGTGCAGACCCGTATATGGGAGAGACCAGTGCAGACCCGTCTAGATCCATGGGAGAGACCAGTGCAGACCCGTATAGATCCATGGGAGAGACCAGTGCAGACCCGTATATGGGAGAGACCAGTGCAGACCCGTATAGATCCATAGGGGAGACCAGCGCAGAGACTCAGCGCGGACCCAGTAACCTCCTGCAGCAGCAGTATATATGCCGTTGTTCTGTGGCCCGTGGATAAAGAAATGCCCCCTATAAATAGGAAGGGGTCACTAATACACGGCAAGATTTCGAATGTATTTGATAAAGCGTTGGCACATTTCATTTCAAAATGAATTAAAAAGTAGGCCAGATCTGCAGTGAAAAAGGCGGTATATAAATAAAGATTACTAATAAAGATTACTACAAATAAATAAATACATACATCGATATGACGGACATATCACTGGAATGTTGTATTTTTATTCAACTTCACCAAAGAGGACAACCCCGGCGTGTGAACATGTCGGCACTGAATGCGTACGAGTGCTCCTGAGGACTCGTAGGATTTGTACTTGCCCAAGAGAAATTCTGGTTACGAGAAATATTTGTGAATGCCACTTTCTTCGTAAAAACCGCGTAAGTAGGATTTACGTACACATCTGTTCCTAAGAACCGTTCGTGAATGAGGCCCATTGTGTGTTTGTATGTTTTGTGTGTTTGCATGTTTTGTGTGTTTGTATGTTTTGTGTTTTTGTTAAAGCTGCACTAACTGACTTTGGGATTTTGAAGCCGTGGACTCGCTGGCCTCTCTCTTTCTGCTCCCCTCCCCGCACCCACGAAGCTATCGCCCCCCACACACACCCACTGTTGGGACGGAGT